AAATATATATTATTATATATTAAATATTTATAAATTGCTATCCTATTTAATGCATTGGGTAATATTTTAATTATCTATAATAATTATATAATAAATAGTAACTATATATTATTATATTATTATTATTATATATTAAATATGTATTAAATATATGTAAAATGCTACCCTATTTAATGCATAGGGTAGCATTATATATATATATAGATATAGATGTATTATAAGGTTGTTTGGTATGATAGTTAAATTTATTAAGTAAATAGTTGAGGGTAACGGATAGTGATTGGTTATATTAAATTAAATAGGATTTAATTGGTTAAATTAATTCATAATTAAAGTTTTGTTTGTCAATACTTCATAAATACACCTCTTTTATATAAAATTTTATATAAAAATCTAAACTTATTATTTTAATTAATTTTTATATACTTTTATTAATAGTAATTTGGCTAAATTACTAAGAGAAACGACGTTGCTCGGCTGGAGAAAGAAGCAACGGGGTTGGATTCTTCGAAGGAACTTGGACCCATTAGTGGACGAGATGGATTTCCCGGGAAAGAGGATGGGTTGATAACCTTGACTGGGGTTTCATATTATGGGTGGGAATTTAGGTTTGGTTCTCTTTGTGAATGAAGCGGGCACCAACCTTCCGCCGGCATACTAATTTCATGGAACTGGTAGGGCCATCCACAGCTAGGGGACCGTTGTTCAACTAAATATCTGCTCTTCATAAGAGCAAGTACGGCAATTGGCATTGTGCCAGTAGCTTAGGATACTTATAGTAGTAAATTCACCCTACGCATAGCTCTAATTATACTTTTTTTTCTTTTTTAACGTAAGGAAATGGAGGGAAATGAAAATAATTAAACTATTATTGTAAACGGATGAAACTTTAACAAATATCAAAAGGCAACTACAGCTGTAGGTGTGTAACTCTAATTATACTTTTATTACAATTATTATGTAATCTTTAATTATAGATGATTTTTTTTACTTAATTATCTAAACCCTTTATAAACAAATTTATATGTAACTAGTAACATAGGTGTAGCTTTCATTTAGCTACAATAGCCACTGCATAGGGTACTCTTTTTTTTTCTTTTTTAAACCGTTATAATTTGGAGTGGGGTAAGGGGATATTAACACAGTAATAGTGTAGTTTAAACTTTAGTATCAATTAAGGTATTATGTACACCAACTGATGTATAAGGCCTGGTGCATTACTTAAGGTATTCTATGTACTCTTGATTCCTTTATCAAATATAATTCTCTATATTCCTATAAAAAATTTACCATTGTATTTTATGGGTAATGATTGTGTATAATTTTTTATGCTTTCTCCATTTATAAATAATAATTAATTTTTTTTATTGAATAAAAATA